GGGGATCACCCGAAATGGCAAGGGTTTGCTTTTGGAAACTCACACAGAACACGCATGCTTGTGAGTTTTGTCAGTTTGTTCGAAGTTGAACTCAGTATGAGTTTGATTTGGACGGACGACATTCACCTAGGAATTGATGTCCGACATTCCATTTGGCCAGCCCTTTGCATAATTGCATGCATGTTTTATGGCCGCACACATGGTTCTTGTTCTTGGGAACCCCCTTTGAGCTTCCTCTCATGAGGCAAACCTTCCTTGTCCATATTCTTCCAGAGGCCTTCTGGGCTCTATGTTAGGTCGGGCCGTCTGGACCGCTCGCTAGGACGGGGCAGGCGCGGGAGGATTGCTCGGACTCCATCACCACGGATCTGCCGGCGGGCAGCTGCCTGGTGCTGTTGGCCCCGGAGAAGTTTGAGGACTTCAAGGAGAGATTTTGTCGGGACTGCCGTGCTGGTTGGGGACTGACGGGCTGTTTCTTTCTTTCTTTCTGACCAAACAGGCTTTTGGGGGCTCCAAGGCAGGCTGTAGGGCGTTGTGGAGGGGACTCAGCCCCGGCTTTTGCGAAGCGGGGTTATGATGGCCATGGCGTTTTGCCATGGTCGCGGGGGTTTTCAGACGAATTCGGGAGGGGCACATGAAACCACGGCTTAAACAACTCAGGCCAGGGTCTGGTTGTTTAAACGCAGTTTGCCGCCAACCAACCCCCTTCCCAGAAATGGCAGGGGTTTTCGCAGAGGTTGAAGGAGGGCATTTCTTCTTTGGGGGTTGGTTTAAGCATCACCTTTTGGCTACCACTTTGAGGTGGGTTTCCTTGGGCGATGTTTCTGGGGAAAGGTTCCTTGGAGTCGCCAGACTTTGAGGCGCGTCGGCCACCGGCCGGGATGCAAAACATGGACACCTCCGGCGCGGACATCGAGTACTGCCTGGCCGACATCGGGTTCTGACTCGATAGCGAGTCCGCTCGAGCGACTGGCGTGGGCGTGGAGCTCGGATTCCAGGCGAGCCGCTTTCTTGTAGGTCTTTGTTTCCGATTGGTTCAGTTCTTGAAAAGGTTTGTCTGGTTGCTTGTCTTGTGCAAGGCTGGTTCCCCTTTGCAGATGGATCTGGGTGAAAGGCAAAGGCCCCAAGGTCGGACGTCATCGACTCTTTGGACTGCGCCCGAAAGAGACAGTCCATGGATGGGACATCCCGAAGTGTCGCAGTGCCGGGGCAAACCATGCCACAGTTCGTTGGAAGAACTGCACTGGACCCTCAAACCACCCTGGTCGCCCCAAATGGGGTGATTTCCGATGTCTTGACAGAAAAAGGCCGGTGATTGCAATTATCAAACTGGAATGACGAGGATCATGGTGTACTTTAATAGTTCGTTTACCTGCAACACAAGTAAAACTAAATGTATCGCACGAAACCTCCGCAGAACCCCGCGCAGTGGGACGCTGTTGTACATTTGGCGGGTCACGCCAAACCCAGTGCTTTCAGTTGTCATTTTAGTACGTATCGAGAAACCATGACGTGAAACGAAACCTAGAGGTAAAAGACCTTTGTTGTTGTATCTCACTGGCTTCTCCCTGAAGACATTGAATACGGCCAGCACTGTCTCCTGTGCAAGATCTTACCCATACTACATGGATCCCCTACCACCTTTGGGATCCTTTGAAATCCAGCGAAATGCAGCTGGAAGCACCGGGCTTCGTAAGTGCACCCGGCATTTCCGGGCGCCCGAGATAAGCCTCGGGTTTGCCCCGCCGCGCCAAACACGGCGCAGAGTCGAGAAATTTGGGGGCGACGCCCGCAATGCCGCGAAGGGGATTCGAAAAAGTTGCTCTGCCTGGCAAAGCCTCATTTTCCTGGAGAAGGGCGGAGGGGCATGCCTCGAGACGTCTCGAGCAATCAAAACCCGGGTAGACTCAGGCTGAGGAAGCGAGGGAAGGAAGCGAGGGACAGTCCAAACAACAAACAGGTGTGGATATCCGCCCTTTGCATTCTTTAATTTGGGTGGACAACGCAACTCCCTAATACGACGCAGGGCATTTGGTCAGTCACTCAAAGTCCTCTCACCCTTTCAGTACCAGGTTTTGATGCCGCCTCTGTGGGACCCACGCGGTGCTGTCCGTGTCAGGCCCTCAAGGCACAGGAGGCATCAGAGGCAAAGGCGCTGAAGGAACGCGGCTGCACCTATCAGTGCCGAGAAGCAGCTGCCGGCTTTTGCGGGCATGTTTGTTCAAACCAGAACCAAAAGGAAATCAAGAAGATTTGGGGTCTCCCTGGAGACATGCTCCTCTCCTGGACCCTCGAACTCGAACTACCTTAAATCATGGGGGGCGGAATCGTGTGGCTTGCAGCATGGCAGACGACGGGTACTGGCGGACAACGTTAGGAAACACCCAGGGCGCAATTGTCATGGTCAGATTTGCCCGACTTCTCGCTTGGCAGGCAACAGCTGCGTTTGACATTTGTTTCATTTCAAAAAGCCCAACTCGGACTCCGTTCCAGGAGCTCGCGAGCCACAAAGCGGTGCTGGCAAGGGAGCAGCAGGCAACGGAGCTGCTTGGCAAGGCGTGTGAATTGCCGTTTCCGAAGGCCGCGAAGCAAGCCAAGGAGGCCTGGTCTTTGGTTTCTTTCCTTCTTTCCTTTGCGATTTCTTTGGCTCATTGGCTTGGATTGGTGGTTGGGTAGTCAAGGATGATTTCCCGTATACCACCTACAAGAACCAGGGTTCAAATCGCCAAGCCACCAATCCAAACCACCAACTAGGGGTAAGATGAGTTTCATGCCGCACGAAAAAGGCCGATGAAGACTTACTGAACTGACTTTGGATAAAGTTCCGATGCTGAGCCCAGAGCTGAGCACGAGCATGCTGCGCCAATGCGAGGAGTTATGTGCGGCCGCTGCAGAGCGCAAGACCTTGCGGGATAACCTGCAGTCGCTGCGGGAGCAGGCAGGCTGCCACATCGCAGGGTTGTGCTTTGGTGGTACTTGGAGTTTGCAGCTGATATGCAGATGCGCTTGATCAAGTATGCTTGAACGACATGAATGGCTGAGCATTTGGCATGAGCACATGAAGCTACCATTGTTGAATGCGCCAATTGACATCTGTTTTGTTTTGCTCCTGGCGATGTTTGCTGATCCGGTGAACACACATATCCAAATCAATGCAGCACGTTGATTGAGCTTGTGTTGTGTGTGTGTGTGTGTGTTGTGTTGTGTTGTGTTGTGTTGTGTTGTGTGTGTGTGTGTGTGTGTGTGTGTGTGTGTGTGTGTGTGTGTGTGTGTGTGTGTGTGTGTGTGTGTGTGTGTGTCTGTGTCTGTGTGTCTGTGTGTGTGTGTGTGTGTTTGATTGTTTGTTTGTTTGTTTGTTTGTTTGTTTGTTTGTTTGTTTGTTTGTTTGTGCTTGTTTGCGAAGCACAGCTGCACAGATTAGCTGCCCAAATCGGCAGATCCGCGCAGCAGCTATGCTTCCCAGCTGGTTCTGTCCCACCGGTCACCTCCCATTTCATTCGATGAGGAGCCTGCAGAGTGCCAGTTCTGCCGCGCCAGGTCGAGGCAGAAGTCGAGCGCCATGTGGCGATGGAGAGGGAGGCTCAGGCTGAACAAGTGCAGGAATGGAAGCAGGCGGGTGTCTGAATGGCTCTGAAGACGGCTGGGAGATGCAACTGACCTTTTGTGGAAGCAACTCTTGCGCGCGCCAGGCTGCGGCCATGCTGAAAGAGCGCACCCTGAAGTTCAAAGAGCAGGACTTCACTGACTTTTATGAGCATTTGACCATGAGACCTGAGCGACATGGAAGCCAAACCCAAAAGCCACCCCAGCCTTCTGAAGTTTTCGGATTTGGGCAGGAGGCAAAGAAGCTGGAGCAGAGCATGCGAGCCGAAGAGGCCCCCGAGCTGTGGCCACGGCAGCGTGTGTTTGTGAATTTTGGCTTGCGGTACTTTGGTTTTGCCTCGGTGAGTCGGGGTACCCTCAGTTGGTGAAATGGATTGGTTTGGAATGTGAAGCCCAGCACCTTTTGCGACATGCGATCCGGGAGGTGCTCAGGGCAGAGGCGAAGATTCAGATTGCGGACCTCGAGGCCAACGGGCATGGGGGCAATTCTGAGATGCCACAAGCAGATGGGTGGCGGTTCGCTTGCCAACGCGCTTTCTCTCCTGTCTGAACAGGGACTCATGTGTTTTTTACTTCACTATGGCCTTTTTCAAGGACCAACCTTGAAAGCTCTCCTCAATGTCTCTCATTCTCATGGACCTTTCCAGATGTGAAGCTGTCGGGTTCCCGATCCGGTTTTTGAGACAGATCGAAGCAGGCAGAATCCGGTTTCAGTGCGCTGCTCTCCAACGGGCGAACAAATACGCCCGACTGTGTGTCTTAAAATGGCGGCATGGTTTCCCGTTTCATTCATGAAACCAAGCCCGAAAAGGGTACCCTCGAAAAAGATGTGCTCAAATTCATGCCACGGAGGATTCCTCAGTGGGCAAGTTCCCCGTGAGAGGCACAGCTGCAGTCGGCCCGCGACACGGCGGCTGGGCTGGAGGACGAGGCCTGGGGGTCACTGGGTTTGACGGATGTCCAAGGCGACAAATGGTGGCTCTCCTTTTGGCTTCCCTTTTATTCCAGCCCCCGAAAGAGTAAGTCCCTCCCTCAAACTCCCGATTGATGGAACACCCTGCACTCCAACTTGGGAAGGCGCCCTCGGTTTGTGAGGCAAGCCCAAAGACCAAGAGTGTTTTTTCAATCTGTGTGTGGTTTCCCTCCGGTTCGACACAAGTCCCACAAAGGGCTCCTTCAAAACTCGGACATCTCTAAAATTGTTTCTGGAACCCGGTTTGGATGTGGCTTTTGTATATCCACCCCTGCAGGATATTAAAAAGAGAGCGCTAGAAGATGACCGAACAGCGACACGGGCAAGAACAGGTGAAATCTACGAGAGAGGCACAAATCCAAACCGTTTTTCCAGGGACTTCGGGCTTCATGGCTGTCCAGGTGGCGCGGCTCGAGGCGGAGAGCCGGCAGCGGGGCGCGGCGGAGCAGGCGGAGCGCCAAGGCATCCGCGAGAGTTTGGCGGAGATCCGGCGACAGCTCAAGGCCAAGAAGGCGCACGCGGCGCCCGTCTTTTGGGGCGGCGACTTTTTCTTCTCTTTTTTTCTTCTTCTTCTTCTTCTTTTCTTTCTTTTTGGTTTGTTTGGGTGGGGCGAGGGGTTGGTTGGGGGGTTGGCTGGGGAAGATGGAGGGGACGGTTTTATGGGGTCTTCCCATGTTCTGAAGCCCCAAATTCGGTTTTGGAGAGAGCAACGATTCCACAACCCTCTTGAGAAAGGGTTCTACTGACAAAGCAGGAAGGCGCGTTCTTTGGCAGAGGGGGCGGTTTCCCGTCGGACACCACAGACATTTTTTTGGGGAACGTTTGGTTTTTGAAAAGAACGATGGTTGTTTTGGGTGGGGCTCCAGAAAGCCCCAACTTAGCAAATAGAGTAGTTCTCAAACCGGCGGTTCAAGGTTTTTTCGTCAAGTTATCAACGGGTACCCTCCAACAATTATGGACGCTGAGAGAGGGTGTTGCAAGTCCAAATTCTTTTGGGAACCCCTCCGTCTTCCAGTATTGATGGAAAGAGGGTACCTGGGTGTTCAACAAACTTAGTCACTAGGTCAGAACCCCCCCCCCCACCCGGCCCGGCTTTATAATTTATAGGGGCTGGACTGTCCCCAAGTCCGGTTTGTTCCTTTGCTGGGACGTAGCCTGACGCCTGGTCTTCAGGACCAGCTGTACCTGGAGAAGTCCAGAGCCATGGAGCTAGAGGTCGGCGGGTCCAAAAAGGGGCGGGGAGGGCCATGGAGGTTCAAAGGGCACTCGTTTCGCTTTTTGCTTCTTGTGATTTCTTTGGTTGCCCCACTTCCTGTTGAGACCAGCATATGACCCCGCAACCTCCAAACCAACTCCAAACCGCCAAGCCAAACCAGCACGTAGGGGCAAAGCGAGCCTAAGGTTCAAGCAGTCCACCCGGCGTTTCGTTTGGCGCAGGTCGCCAACTCCGGGCTCCGACAAGACCTGCAGCACTTGGAGACGGCCACTGCGCGATTGCGCCAGGCGAATCTGCGAATCGGTGAGTGCTGGTTCCAGGGCTTTCGCCGAGGCTTGGGGAAGTAGGCCGATTCAAAGGAGCCTTTCAGGTTTTCAACCCTTGTGTGCTGAATTGAATCAGCCCGGAAAATTGTGGGGGGGAGGATCCGTTTCTCTCCCATCTGAGCTGTGGGGCATGGCTTCGCAGGAGCAGAATGAGAAGATCAGCCAGCTCTCCCTTGAGGTGGCCGAGGTGGGAACGCGATCCGTAGCGAGGCCAACCTGAAGGGAAGCTGTGCTTTAAACGCCCTTCTCTCCCAAAGCACCTTGCTTGAACAGGAAAGCCTAGAATGCAGGGGGTGCCTTCATTTTTAAGCACCCTTTCGACCAGTTTTGAAGCGATGTGATGTTTGGACCTTGGAAGCTCGAGAGGTCGAGATCAAGGTTGGTTCAAGTCCACTTTGGGAAAGCAAAGTTTGGGCTGGACACGGCCAGGAAGCTCCAACCTTGCCCTTTCTTCCGGATGTGATTTTTAAGGGGCCCGGACCCTTTGGTCGGCATGATCTACGGGATGAATGTCCACCAACCTTTGTTGAAATTGTTCCCATAAACAACAACTCCCATATTCTTGCGGTATGCTTTTAAGTGGGGGATTTGTTTCAGGGAGTGTTTCCTTGAAATTTCCCATGCTCCCGGAGGTGGGTGCGCTGCGGCGGCGAGTGGACACCCTGGAGACGCTGCAGCAGGGTATGGGCGACTGCCTACAGGCGGGAAGGGGAGGGCCCTGTCCTCAGAACCGATTCGGGTAGATGAAGGTTAAGGGATAGTCCCAACCATAATTGGGGCCGGATATCCGCCTTAATCTGTATGTGGTTGTGGGTTGACCATTTCAAAACCGGGTTTTGATTATGACTCAATTGACTCCAAGTGGTGTGGATTGGTTTGGGGGGAGGGAGGGTGTGAGGAATCGGTCTGGTTCTACCGGGACAGGAGACGGGCGCAATTGGCAGGGGTATTTGGTAGGGAGTGGTGATCCGGAGGTCGTGCACAGTTTTGGATTCGAGATTTAATCGCATCTTTGGGATTCGGGATTTAATCACATTATCAGGATTCAATCACATTTCTGGGATTGAATCACATTTTCAGGATTCAATCACATTTTCGGGATTAAATCATATTTTCGGGAAAGCGGGATTCGGGATTTGATCACATTCTCAGGATCAAATCACATTTTGGGATTCGGGGTTGAACCACATTGTCGGGAATAAATCCCACTTTCGGGATTCGGGATTCGCGACTAAGGATTGAACCACGTTTTCGTTTTTAATCACATTTCGGGATTGGGGATTCGGGATGAATCCAGAAAATGTGATTAAGTCCCGAATCCTGCAAATGTGGTTTAGGCCCAAAAACGTGACGCAATCCCGAGAATGCGATTGAATCCCAAATGGATTTGGGATTCGGGACTGGGAAGCCACTATCTGGTGCGGCTTCGGGATATGCATTTCTTTTATTTTCTTGCTTTCTAATGATTCATTATCCTATCTTATGTTGGTTGTTTTCTTTCTTGTTATTCATTTCTATAATTGCATAATATTAGCCTTTTTATCTTAATTTGTATTTTTAATTGTTATTTTCAACAGATAATTTCTATAAAGGGGAGATCCTAGAAAGAAAAACACCAACTACTTTATTCATGATTCTATTTGGTTATTTGCATTTCATATCCTATTCTCTGTCATTAAGATTTTTAATTCCCTTCCAATCCTCTTTCTTCATCTGTTTATATGTGTAATTCTGGATCTTGGAAACATAATAATGACCTTAAAAAGACACAAGACAATAAGAGATCCATAACTCCAAGAATGAAGAACCTATGAAAGAAACCTAGAGGTGTTGGGGGGGTTGGGGCGGGTGGGCGCCTAGCCCATTCGGATACCGATTTCGGGGTAAAACAAGCTCACCACGCAGGTCCTGTATATCTTGGGCAGGTTCTGGAATTGTTGTAGGAGGACGGAACGCGACTTTGTCGCTGGAGTTGTGTTAAGAGTCCTTGCAGTTTGGCGCACGTTCGTGTTTTTAGGTTTGGGAGATGCTGGTGATGCTGGTGATGCCGGTTGGTGATGCTGGCGATGCCGGTTGGGGATGCTGGTTGCTCGTCTCATCCCGGGATGCCAGCTGGGAAGTTTTGTTCTTATGGATGTCAACGCAAGCTCCGGACTCAACTCTGTTTTTACATTTTTTTCCCCGAGCTTGGAGGCAGATCTCGAAAGAACCACTCAGCCGAGTTTCTTGTGTTCCCCCCGTGGCTTCCTGGGCGTCCTTGGCAGTGGGCAGGACTCGCAGCGCCGCGCCAGAGAAGCCGAGGAGAAGGACGAGTTCGGGTCTGACTCGTGGGGATTCGGGGAATAGGTCAACTGTTTTCTCTTGGTTTCAAAAGGGTTCCCCCCAGCAATATGCACCCGGATTGAAAGCTGAGGTAGTTGGCACAAAGCCAACAAGAGATAAGCCAAGATCATGGAGGATGGGGATCCTGATCCTGGACAGATTCTAAATCGGGCTTTAGCTTTCACAGGACAGTGTATGCAGAATCCGACAAGAACCATTTATTGGAACTTAGTTGGGGCCATCTAAGAAGCAACCTAGGGGCATCAATCGGAGCACAACAATCTCAGCAAAATAGATTACACCTCAAACGTGTCCATCCCAAAAACACAGCTACTCTTCCAAGTCAGCATGGAACACAAGAAGGGAGTCCTCTTAAGATCAGATTCCTGAACATAATGTCGTGCCTTTTTGGGTTCCAAAATTCCAGACGTTTCTGCGGTTCCCGTACACACGTGTAGTTTTTCTTTTTGGGCTTCAGGTGAATCGGGGCAAGGCCGGCGTGGCCAGGCCAGCGAGCTGCTGGCCCGGCTGGGCCAGAGTTCCGCGCGAGTCGGCTGCCTGGACGAGTCAACATCGGGGGACCCGAGCTGCTGCTTGGGGGAAATGACCCAAGAAAGCACAGACACACACAGACACAGCAACACGCAGACACGCTCTGACAGTGCAGGTTGCAAGGGTCCTCAGAGTTGTGTCGGGGACCCGGTGATTTCTCTAAATGACCTCTGCTAAGAGGGTCTGACCCCAGTCCTGGCGTTCTTTTTGGCTGGCGGCTTGTTCCGCACCCACTGCCGCGAAGCTTCCAACGAAGCATATCATTCCAATAGAAGTTATGAGCATTTTGGTTTCCTTTTGAGCCAACCTGAAAGGGGTACACTCTCCCACGCTGAGTTTTCCACTGAGGTCGGGCGCGCATGAGGACAGGGAGCCCGGCTCAGCCAGCTCCGCATGCAGTCCAGTGGGCTTTTCGTTTGAAACGCCCCAAGGGCACCCAAAAAAGACGTCAGCCTGGTGGCGGGTCCACCTCCAGCGTTCATTGAGTCTTCGAAAATAGGAGTGACGCCTCACACAATTCCCGTGCCACTTTAGGATGGACCCCAATGCTCGTGCCGGGTTCAACCCCGGGCGCACCAGTGCGTGCCTGAGAGTCCGTGTGAATGAAATGTGATTGAGAAGCTTGGCCAGACAAATGCGAGTAGCTGACAGATGTTGGCTTGGGGCGGACTGAATTCCCACACCAGTCCGGCGGACAGCCCGAATTTTCTCGTCTCCTTTTGGGGAAAGAAGTCATTTTGTCCAGGCCTCATGCCCGCTCCGTGCTCACTTTGTCCTGTGGTTGAACGGCCCAGGCGACGTGGAACACGTGGGGCAGCTTTGACTCTTTGACAGAATCCAGTGCAAGAAATTCAGAATGCTTGCAGTAATTGAGACCGAATTTGATCGCATGCGCTTGCGGCGTCGCCGCGTGGCTTAATTTGATGCAACTGGTCAGAGGGGAGGCGAAAAGATGACTCTGCAAGCGGACGGAGATACTCGGGCCCTTAGTCCGGGCCATGCGGCCAGGTGATCGCTTGACTATGGCCAGGCAACTGCCGCACAAACGGCACATTGTCAGTCATGATTCATCGAAGTCTCTACTGCACCAGGGCTGCCATTGAAGACTGGTGACGCAGCATCTTAAGACGCTCAGAACGCCATCGCCCGCTAGCGTCCTTCAGTCGAGTCGACTGACGTGGTGCGAGGCACATCGCGAAGGTTCCCGAAGATGTCGGGTCCGCGGACGACTGTTGCACTATCGCAATCGAGGCCCGGGGAGTAGTGCTAACAAGAATCGGGGTGCCCCCGCGCGCTTTTCAGGTGGAATGGCCTTTCTGCAGGGAGCCAAGGCGCTTCATCGAGCTTGCTGAACCATTTGACATGGATCCCCCGAATTCTAAAGGGCCCCCTTCAAGTTCACATTGGGATGTCTCCCTCTTGGTTTTCAAACATCACTTTCTTGGCGTTCCCATCCCACAGTCGCGTCGGGGTGGTTTTAGGTTGGAAACAACTTGTTGGAACCTTGGCGTTGGGTGCTTCCAGCTCCAGCATCCAGCAGCCAGCCCTCGATGGCGCATGTTCGTTTGAGTTGGAGCCTTTTTCGCCTTGATTGAAAGGGCAACCAAAGGAAGCCATCATTTTTTCGGAAGGTGGAAAAGGACCGGAGAGAATGAAAAGCTAGTCAATGGACCCGAGTGCTTCTTTCCCACAATGCAAGAGGAATGAGGCGTCGCCTGTCGATCCTGGCCGATCCAACGTGTGGGACCCGACTCACAAGAAACGATCGCTTCCGGGGCCAAACTGTTAATCTTCGAGGAAGCTAGAGGCGCAACATGCCATAAGGCTGTTTTTCCTGCACCGCATGTCGCACGGGGTTTGGGGCAGGGCTTGCCAGTTCAGGTGCATCATTATGGGCGGAAGCTTTTGGGCTCTATGTGATTTTTCAATTTGGCAAAGCCAATCGATACGAGCCTCATGTTCGACTCTGGCGACTTGGCCTACCTGGCATCTTGCGCGCTGTTGCAACTTGTGCTGGTGGTCAGGTCCTTTCAAAAAGCCTGGCAGGGGCGCCAGCGCATCGCAAAGACAATGTGTGAGCTGCCGGGATTTGCCGCAGGCGTTGTGAGTCAGTTTATCAGAAAGCCCGGCGAGTCAGAGCGGGTTCTTCGCACGCAGGTCTCCCAGTTGCAGCTGGAGTTTGCGCAGTCTTACGTCTCCGTGGCAGCGGTTACTTTGTGCCTTTCGCTTTCTGTTTTGCAGAGGAACATCCTTACTGGCCGTCCACTGTTCCTATCACCCTTGGCCATTTGGAATGGGTTGCTGTACAACTTTTCACTTGTTGCAACTTGGCTGCCCTGCATCCTGACGGTGCGCACGCTGAACCTCTGGTACTTCATTTCCCACGTCTTCGTGGCTGTCTGGCTCAGCCCCAGCGGATGCGCGGCATCCCACGTCTTCTCTGTGCGGCTTTTTTGCCTTGTGGTAATACAGGCGGAGTGATCAAAGCACATGAGTCATGGAGGTCCAGCGAACTGAATAACCCATGTGGGGCCGGAGGGGGGGGGGGGGAATCTTTGGGGCCGGATTTGCACTTTGCCTTCCCAAAGTTGAAAGCACCGGTTTCACTGGCGAGTGGAACAAGATCTCGGCCAGGTGCCATCGCTGATGTTTGTCCAGAGTTGGCTCATGGCGTGGCTGGTCCACTTGGGCGTGGCCGCTATTGTCGTGCTGCGGGCGCTGCTCGACGTGGAAGACGCTGGAGACACCATTTTCCGACACCCGGGCACCCTCGTCGGAGCCGAGTTCGTCATGGCTGGCTGCGTAGGCGCGAAATTTGTTTGGGTGGGGTTTAAAAGGGGAAGGCTATGAAATGGTTGTGCCTCAAAAATAGGGGCCAATTCCGCAACATCTCTCTCCTTAGTTGTAGGGCAAAGAAGAGCAACCGGGCCAAAATCTGCGGTTTGTATGGGGCTCCATTTTCAGCCACGCCCAGACGTTGTTTGCACGGTCTACGTTGTTGTCGGTGAATGTTCGCAATCCAACGATGTGGTTCTTGAAGCACTTACTCGCATCTGGCAGGCATCCTGGTTCGCTTTGTCTACAATGCCTTCGAACAAAGAGTCGCGGCACGACTGCGTGAACACCACGTCTCCTCCCAGCTGGATGCTGCCTCTGGCTTGCTGCAGCTGACCTGCGATGCGGTGATGGAGCTGGACGATGACTTGAGGCTCAGAGAGCACAGCCCCAAGTTGGCTGCCATGCTCCTGCGAGGTGGCTCTTCCACTCAAGGCACGGCTTCAATTTATTGGGGGGGGGGGGGTGGTTCTGGTTCTTGGGTTCCGGGATGGCTCTCAATTTTGGGAGGCTCAAGGCGTATCAGTTTGTTTCATGTATTTTGCCTCTGACGCCTGTCATGGCAACTTCGGGAGCACCTCTTCAAGACACAGCTAGTGTTTGTTTCCATGGGACACTTGTAGCAGGTCTTGGTTCAACCCATCCCAGCCGGACCGAGGCGTGCGGTTCTCCGAATTCGTCGCAAGAGATGAAGCAGCGAGAGCGGAAGAGATTCTCAACTCTGGATCCCACGAATCCAGCTCCGCAGCCCAGGCGTTTCACACGCGTCTGGTGGACAGCTGTGCCAGCAAGTTTCGCACTGAGGTTTTTCAAGTCAAGTACCAGCTGCCAACTGGGCAGACCCGCCATCTCATTGGCCTACGTGACTTCACAGATTTGCAGTCGCTGGCTGGAAACAAGGCAACTGATGCAATTCACGACGTGGATGACAGAGAGCAGCTTGAGCTTTATGACGGTCTCAGCAGTTTACGTGGGCATTCTGAAACTGCAACTGAGGACAGTACCCATCCGTTGCAAGCAACCTGTTTTTCTGAGGATTCCGACATGGACGCAGGGAGCTATGGCGACCAAGGGATCATGGAGCAAGCGGTGGCGCTGCAGGGCAAGAACATATTCCTTGACCTAGATTGTCAAGCCATGCAGGTGTGTGCTGCTTCCGCCCCTTTGACATCTTTGATTGGGCGCGGCCTGTCAGAAGTCTTCGTGTACAACTACACACTGGAGCTATGCATGAAGCTGTGGCGCCAAGCCAAGCAGAGCCATGATTTGCCAGACAAGATGGTGAGCTTCGAGCGAATGCCGCTCTTTTGCTTGCCCCGCACCATTGAAATCTCGGGGATTATGCAATTGTCAAGGACTAGCCTGGGGGACCTGCATGTGATTTTGAACTTTAGGCCCTCCGCGCTGGTACAACTTTAAGTCCCTTGGGTGGTTTCACCATTTTGAGTTTTCGTTTTTCACTTTTCTGTCAAGCCACATGGGAGTTTCTCAAAATCCCTGTTTGGATGGTTCAAAAGGAAACCAAAAGGAAACCCGCGGCTTCCTGCCTGGAGAGGTGCCGAACTTTGAGAGACACCCATGTGGCCGTTGGTTAGAGCGCTCCGGGTCAGTGTTAGGCTGTTGAGTCGCGCAATTGCCCTGTCGGCAGGGCCCACCAGAGAAACATTTGCCGGGCGGGTGGTATGGGACAGGCCATTTTCACGGGCCTTGTTTGGAGGGAGGTCCGAATCCCTATTTTGGCACATACTCCCCATGAAGATTGGCAAGTTCTCACTCTGGCCAAGACAGGGCTTTGGCACTCATGTTCCAGCTTGTTTTTAAACCAACAGCTGGAAGCTTTGAGGGAGGGTTTCCGGGGGGGTTCACCTGGGCTTATGTTTTGCGCAAGAGGCAGAATTTCCGCATCACGTCCACTGCCCATTCCCACAATCGTGGAAGTGCGGAGTCGTGTGCAGCAGATTGTGGCAATCCTTTCCACACGAGTAGTCTGCTGAGTCTACCGTTGGTTTGGTCAGGACGAGAAAGGGAGACAACCCGAGTTTCCTATCAAATCTAGTAGATACCCAGGGGCTTTAGACCCCTGCATTGGACACCTTACTTGGGTCTCAAAGTCTGGCTGCTTGAGGACAGGAAATTCATCGGGAGCGTTTGGGTAACCAATTTTCCGTTTTCGTCTTCTTGTTGGATTTAAATGGTTCCCTTGACTACAAAACGGGCGCCTGGCATAGCCTGACCAGGCCAAGCTGCGACAAGCTCGCGAGCAAAGAGGCCTCGGCCCCTTCGCTGGGTTGGCCTTCGCGGGTCCAAGGGGTTGGAGGTCGAGCCCAAGCTCCGAAAGATGCGCATGTTGCATGAGCTCTTCAAGAAACGAGGCTTCCGGGTAATTTCCCTTGAAACCAAGAAAGGGTACCCCCAACAAGAAGATGCACACTTTTCTGGTGGGAACCCGGCACAGCATGTTTGGCGCCCCGCATTGCCATGTATTCTGAATTCTCAATGAATACGCATGATACGCATGTACCAACAGGGGATTAAAGGGGTTTCAACCCCGAAGGTGCCTATGCACTAACAGAAACAACCCTCCCAAAATAGTTGGTTTTGTTTTGGTTTCCTGCTTGGTGCAGAGCGTGCGCGGCACGCGCCCTCAAATATCGAGACGCGATGCCGTCCGCGCGAGTGCGGCGTGCGTATTGAGCGCCTGGGATCCAAACCAAAATGGCGACAAACCAGTCTCAAACAAAGGCAAACAGTTTCAACCAAAGAAGCAAGGGCAGGCCGGGTGTAGAAAGACCAATGGCTGCAATCGCTGGGCCCTTGAATTGGCTCGGCCCGGAAAAGCGAAAGCCCGCAACCTACGTTAGCACAAGAGAGAGCTCAATTAGACTCCAGCTGGCAGCTGTCTGTTGAGGAGCTGCCACACTTCACTTGACCGGAGTTTGCGACAGCAAACGCCGTGGTACAGCTAGCATGACGAAGCGCAAACCTTAAACCACACAGCCCTTCTAGCTTGCAGTTGCTGCGCCATCTTGAGACGGACTCCGCTCAGGTTGGGCACCTCGGCCTCTCGTTGAGAGAGACTGCAACGCGGTCTGCAGTATTGTTCGAAGCTTGTCGGCAAGCGCGTTGATGGCGAGTCCGACTTTGAAATCGGCCATGCCAGTGCTGTGGTTCGCGAAGATGTCCACAACCTGCACAGAACTGCGTTTGGCTGCCAATGCCGGAGCTAGCCAAATATGATCCCTGATGGAAATTGGGGCGTTGCAGCGGTCATGAATTCATCCAGCCCCGCGCGGTCGTGATTCAAGTCCCCCGCAGTCGCAGCAAGGCCACTATACCCAACGACCATAAAATGTCTCCAGTGAGCTGAGACGCTCTACGCCATGTAGGCCCTCGTGAGTAGCCGTAGAGGTTCGGAATGAGAACATTGCGTGGCCCAACCAATTTGGACGTCGCATGCATTCGGCTGGACTCTAAGATTTCACAGCCACACAAACACACGCACAGACGCAGACACACACACACACAGACACTCGCACAGACACACGCACACAGACACTCACGCGGACACACGAACACACACACACACGAACACACACACACACACACACACACACACACACACACACACACACACACACACACACACACACACACACACACACACACACACACACACACACACACACACACACACACACACACACACACACACACACACACACACACACACACACACACACACACACACACACACACACACACACACACACACACACACACACACACACACACACACACACACACACACACACACACACACACACACACACACACACACACACACACACACACACACACACACACACACACACACACACACACACACACACACACACACACACACACACACACACACACACACACACACACACACACACACACACACACACACACACACACACACACACACACACACACACACACACACACACACACACACACACACACACACACACACACACACACACACACACACACACACACACACACACACACACACACACCCACCACGCACGCACGCACGCACGCACGCACGCACGCACGCACGCACGCACGCACGCACGCACGCACGCACGCACGCACGCACGCACGCACGCACGCACGCACGCACGCACGCACGCACGCACGCACGCACGCACGCACGCACGCACGCACGCACGCACGCACGCACGCACGCACGCACGCACGCACGCACGCACGCACGCACGCACGCACGCACGCACGCCACGCACGCACGCACGCACGCACGCACGCACGCACGCACGCACGCACGCACGCACGCACGCACGCACGCACGCACGCACGCACGCACGCACAGCACACGCACACACACACACACACACAACACACGCACGCACGCACACACACACACACACACACACACACACACACACACACACACACACACACACACACACACACACACACACACACACACACACACACACACACACACACACACACACACACACACACACACACACACACACACACACACACACACACACACACACACACACACACACACACACACACACACACACACACACACACACACACACACACACACACACACACACACACACACACACACACACACACACACACACACACACACACACACACACACACACACACACACACACACACACACACACACACACACACACACACACACACACACACACACACACACACACACACACACACACACACACACACACACACACACACACACACACACACACACACACACACACACACACACACACACACACACACACACACACACACACACACACACACACACACACACACACACACACACACACACACACACACACACACACACACACACACACACACACAGACTCAAGATTACTTCGGGGCCCCAGCCCAGCCGCACGCCCCAACAAGGGCCACCTCCAGCGTTCATTGAGTCTTTGAAAATAGGAGTGACGCCTCACACAATTCCTGTGCCACTTTAGGATTGACCCCAAATGCTCGTGCCGGGTTCAACCCCGGGCGAACCAGTGCGTGCCTGAGAGTCCGTGTGAATGAAATGTGATTGAGAAGCTTGGCCAGACAAATGCGAGTAGCTGACAGATGTTGGCTTGGGGCGGACTGAATTCCCACACCAGTCCGGCGGACAGCCCGAATTTTCTCGTCTCCTTTTGGGGAAAGAAGTCATTTTGTCCAGGCCTCATGCCCGCTCCGTGCTCACTTTGTCCTGTGGTTGAACGGCCCAGGCGACGTGGAACACGTGGGGCAGCTTTGACTCTTTGACAGAATCCAGTGCAAGAAATTCAGAATGCTTGCAGTAATTGAGACCGAATTCGATCGCATGCGCTTGCGGCGTCGCCGCGTGGCTTAATTTGATGCAACTGGTCAGAGGGGAGGCGAAAAGATGACTCTGCAAGCGGACGGAGATACTCGGGCCCTTGGTCCGGGTCAACAAGAAGGGGCCATGCATTGTTTGACTGTGGCCAGGCAACTGCACATTGTCATGATTCGTTGGAGTTTCTACTGCACCAGGGCTGCCATGATTGAAGACCGGTGACGCAGCATTTTAAGACGCTCAGAACGCTATCGCCCGCTAGAGTCCTTCAGTTGAGTCAACTGACATGGAGCGAGGCGCAGCAGATTCGCGGACATTAAGAATCCCTCAAGGCCCGGGGTGTAGTGCTGCTGATTGCACTGATGAAGGGAATCGGAGGCCCTCGTGTCCTGACAGGTGGACGGAATGGCTCCCGTGCAGAACAGAGCCTTGGCTTCATCAAATTTGCACCGTCTTCTTTTTGGGGGAGAGGCGATAGTGGCATTTTCCGAGGCCAGCCGTCCCCGGTGGACGAGGCCGAAGCAGCGCTTGCGTTGAGCACGTGGACCGTGTGGCCATTGTCAGAAGACTATCCAGGGATTCTGGACGGCAAGGGTTGTAGTTGTGAGGATCCACGGCTAATCACCACATTTTGGGAGGCATTGGACCATGGCCCATGTAAGCCTGGCAGGCGCCTTTGCCCCTTCCTCGTCTTCGATCGCCGTTGCCCAGCCCAGGCCTCTAAGACGATAGCTGCACTCAAAGTCCGGAAAATGCGACTGGCCCTGTGCAAATGCGAATCAGCGGTCGCTGATTTGCCACTGTCAGGCCCGGCGCCGGTTGGTGCGGTGCCCCGCAGGCGAAAGCGCAGGCCAAACCTTGACGCGTCGGTGTAGTCTGAGGGACGATCTTTTGTTAGGGTCCCTAGGGTCCCTTATTTACGTTATTTATCCCCGTATGTGGGTGACGCCGGTGCGAGAATTGGTGTCAAAGTTTGCCTTGGCGCTGTCAAGACTAGGGGCCCTTTCTGGTAGCCTCTTGGCGGGGGTGTAGCGCCGAGGTTCAAATGAAATCCATATTCTCGTTTTTCCCCGGGCCGGGCGGTTGGTCGACGTGTTTTTGCAGGTCCGGATGACATTGGAGGAGCGGTTCCGGCTGATGATCCGCCGGCCCACGCCGGGGGAATTGGAGCTCCAGAACTTCTTCCAGCACTTCGACGCGTTCAACGCAACACACCCAGACGACCAGCGCTTTGAGAATGACGTGGGGGCGATTTGCCAAGCCTTCACGGAGCACTTCGAGCGGGACACGGCAAAAGATGTGTCCCCGGTGTTTTTGATCCACTTCCTCATCAAGATCGCGCAGTATTTGCATGGCTACGTGAAAAGGACGCCAACGGAGCCCAAGGCGAAGAAAGCGATGGTTGTGGCCTGGACAAGGCTTGGAAGCGCCGACGTTTATTCCGCCACAACCATTGCAATGGCGCCCGCAGGCTTGCTGAGGTTGGAAGGAGAAGTTGATGCAAGACTTCAAGAGAGACAGCTTCAAACTGAAGATTGCCGAGTCAGTAGGGCTTTTGGTCGATTCCTTGCATGTTGCGGGGTTGTTTTTGGGGCCGTAGCACTGATGGGACTGTCCGGAGAGGATACTCCTTCAAGGAAGTTCTCTTCAGCGTGCCGCTGGATCTGTCGCTGTCTGCTGCTGCCTGATCATATGGCAGTAGGATTCCCTTGGAGCTTCATTTCACTTCCTTTTTGAAAGCGTTTGTTGAAGCTGGTAACTGGCAAGAGGACCTTTCCTTGCACACGCGAGGTTGAGAAGCAGCCCAGTTGGTTCAGCAGGCTGTTTTTTTGGTCCACGTCTGTCGAAGACCAAGTGAGCAGCCTGGGGGTGAAGGCCGTGGCGGTCTTTGCGGTTTTACATCAGGCCAGCCTCGTTGAGCGGCGCCAAAGCTTCGGATGGATGGACTTCTGCGACAAGGCGGCGGCTGTGGTGCAGAGGGTCCACGAGGAAGTGCTCAAAGCGCTGCTTGTCTGGAAGGAGCTTCTGCCCAAGCTCGAGCCGGAGAAAGAGGTGGGATCCCTGGAGGGTGAGATTTGGCACCCCTGTTCAGCTGTTCAGGTTGGTGAGGGAAACCACAAGGAACACGACTTTAGGGGCCCATTGACAAACAGGTGCTGCAAGCTTTGCTTCGGGCGTTCCCTCTTCGAGCAGCGGTGAGACTCATCGACCAGCTGGCCGTGTGTGCGGGTTCCTTCTGGCGCCAGCTCCCCCACTGGATCTCGCAGGATACGAAAGAGGTGGCTGTGGCCTTTGCGTGGGTGCTTCAAAGAGGAGAGGTTTGGTCAAAATGCTAGTCTGTGGTCTATTTAAAAGGGACATCGGGCTCGTTTTTTGAGGGACCTTGGGGAGTCCCTGTCATTTTGACCGAGGAGACTTGGACCAGGAGGCGCTGGTCGCCTGGTTGCAGGTCATCGGGAGAGGCCAGCATGGTCGCCTCCCCGCCATGCTGCAGCAGCTCACCGGCCTGGATCACTCGCGCGCAGTGGAGGAGGCCTTGGACGGTTTCCTGCGGTGCGGCAAGACCCGGGCCCTTTTCAACGACTTCGAGTGCTTCATCGACGAACGGCCGGACCATTGGCTGTCGGTGTGGCTTCTGAGGAACATTGACAAGATTCAGATCCTGAACATAGAAGGAATCACTCTCACACGCGTCTGCAACTACTTGATTGGCGTTCTCAACAGGAACCCATACGACTTCGAGCAACCAGGACAGGTTGACGCCGGCCAACCAGCCTGTGCTTGCAGGGCGTTTCAATCGGAAAGAAACGCCCGGTCTGTTTCCTGCGAAGGATCATGGCTGCTGGGAACCGTGGCGAACATCGGGCGCACCCTGAACGCTTCCGATCGCATGCTGGCGCTGCTCCTGCCGTGCCGCGAGCTGACATGCTTCCAGGCGCAGGCCGGGGCCAGACAAATTGCACCGAAGACAGAGCGCTGGACTCGTCCGCAGCTCGCAGCCGGCTTTTTCTCATGTTCTTGTGGTTCTGAAAGGGGACTTGGGGTATTCGATGCGGCGACCGAATTCTTTCTGAGGACTGTGGGCTCCGGCAGATGCACACAGCAAGCGAGATCCTGGAAAAGGTGCCGACCGTGAAGGAAATCGATTTGCAGCAACTCATCCCACTGAAGGACCGTTGCCATCCACGTTTGCGGATGTTGGCTGGCTACAATTGGGGAGACCCATGTTTGGTGCTCCCGCCATTTGGAGAGATCCCCCATGCTGGCGTTGTGGAGCTCGGCCGGCGGGGGTGGGGGTATGTCAGTGTGTCCCGGCTACCTTGAGCTGACGGCTTCCTTGCACTGGCAAGGAAGGCACCAATGACTGTCTTGTGTGGCCTGCATTGTATTTTGTGAAGATCACTCCAGGGAACGGAATCTGAACTTCTTCTTGTTGAAACCAAGGCAAGAGTCCAAACCACCGGGCCACCAATTGGGGGTAAGCCGTTTTGTTTCTGCTGCAAGCGAATCTTTTCCGCCCAATCGTACACCGTTCCCCCCCTAATATAAGCAACCTCGGAGAGTTTCCATTATTGCGGTTCCCTGGTTCTTTGGCCAGAACTGTTTAGTAACGGGCTAAAATTCTAAAATTGGAGAGGGGGACCCACTCAGAATACTACTTTAGAGTAAGACCTTAAAGACTTAAAGGAACCTACCGGAGACCTTAGCTATTTTAACGCCGGCTCAGGCCGCCGACATTACAGGCCTGCTTTCTTAATTGCGTCCCTTTGGCCCCCCTTCCCCTCTAAGATCTTTCCCCCCCGTCCCGCCCTGAGATCTTCTCCCCCTTTTCCTCCCTAAGATCTTTTCCCCCGTTTCCCTGTTGAGATCCTTTCCCCCCTTTCCCCCTTTCCTCCCTGAGGGGGAAAAGGCCTGAAGGGGGAAAGGGGGGAAGGATCTCAACAGGGGAAAGGGGGGAAAAGATCTTAGGAGGAAAAGGGGGAGAAGATCTCAGGGCGGGACGGGGGGGGGGGGGAAAGATCTTAGAGGGGAAAAGATCTTAGGGAGGAAAAGGGAGAAGATCTCAGGATCTTCTTTTTCCTCCCCTGTTGAGATCGTTTCCCCCCTTTCCCCCCTAAGGCCTTTTCCTCCCTGAGGGGGAAAAGGCCTGAAGGGGGAAAGGGGGAAAGGATCTCAACAGGGGAAAGGGGGGAAAAGATCTTAGGGAGGAAAAGGGAGAAGATCTCAGGATCTTCCTTTTCCTCCCCTGTTGAGATCCTTTCCCCCCTTTCCCCCCTAAGGCCTTTTCCTCCCTGAGGGGGAAAAGGCCTGAAGGGGGAAAGGGGGAAAGGATCTCCCCCCCTCCCTTAAAGATCTATTGCTTGCTTTGTCCTCCTAAGATCTCTTCCCCCCTTTCCCCCCAAGATCTCCCCCCAAAACAAAAATAGTAAAGGACAATTCAAGGAATTGTCCATTTACTATTTTTTTCTAACAGCAACACATCAAATAGCAAACAAAAATAAGAACAACAAGCAAACAAAATAAATAAGAACAACCAACAATCAAAAAATAACATCAGAGCATACACCATTAAATAATTCAAACACGCATACCAACAAAACACAAAAACTAAAAACCATCAAAGAACACAAACTCAAAAACACACACTAACAAATTTCAAAGCAGTATAACAATAAAACATATCAGAAGAGTATCACACAAAATAAAAAGCAAACAGCCAAAGCACGAAAAATCAAAAGAGCATGCCAAGTTCAAACAACGCACTTTGAAAGAGACAAGCAAATCAAGAAAATGTAATAATTATCAAAATGAAATATTTTATAGAGTATAAGTATAGTATAATGAAAGGTTATAAAGTTTTACAATGTCAATTTATATTATAATGCCATTTTTTTTAAACAGTTTTATTCGATTCTGTTTTATCCAAATTCAATCTCACCAGCGATACAACCACTATAACAACTCATACTATACTCACAACAAAAATGCTCGTATCCTTTTATTAATTGGTCTGTGTAAATTTGAATTAAGTCGCTTAAGATGTTTCTCATATAATAATCTTTATTTCTATATTCCCACGAACTGTTTAGGTTTGGAAAGTTCAACCCATAACGTTTTTTTTTTTTTTTTTTTTTTGAAATATTCAATGTCAAGACATTTTCTTAAAATGATACAAACTTCATTCTCATTATTCTTACAGTATGATTTTAATGCTTGAAAATACATTTTTCTATTTTTAAACCGTTCTTTAACTTCTTGTTTATCAAATAATCGGTCAATGTGTTTTCTGTAGTGTCTTTTTTTATACTATATTGGTTTTCTGCTAGTTGTGTAATAACATTATTTTGCATTAGTTTAATAACTTGTAATTGAAGTTCTGCTTTTTCCAGTCCTTCTTCAGGAATGTTTTTATCTCTCACAAAATGTTCTTCCGCATCCAACAAATCACTACAATTAAAACATGTTACTTTAATATAACCACCAATAATATTACAAACATTAACAGGTACAATATTAGCTATTGATACAACAGACTTACAGTTTTTTTACAAGGACAATTGTTAGAATTAAACAGTGTCCTCCTATTATATTAAGGCACTATTTATTTAAGTCATTTTTAAGGCATTAAGAAACAAACCATAAGTATAGTATAATTATAACATATAAGATTTTACATGTTATTATTATATTATGATTATAATTTCAGTTCAGGATAATAATTTATCGATTAATCTTACTTCTTTCATACATCATTTTAAACATAATATTAATATCTCTCACTGTATTTTGAACATTAAACTTTTTACTTTCAATCTATAACTTTATATTGTTTTTAACATCTTCTCCTTCCTTTTGACGATAACCCAACATCCATAATATATCATCAATCATTTCATATTTTTTGTTACTTATTTTAAGAAACTGTTTAACATAATCGTAAGGCGGTATTTTATTTACAGTTAGAAATATTAAAATATCATCTTCTACATTTCTATTATGTCCTCTTTTTATTCCCAACACACATTTGATTAAAGTTTGATTATCTCTCCAATTTATACAATTTTCACATTCGTCTTCTTCATCCATTGAATAGTTAATAATATTATTCACTATTTCATTAGGTAAATTCAATTTATACAATTCCATATTTTCTTTTTTGAGGTGACAACAATCATAGCATTTTTTATTGATATAATTATTGATTTCATCACCGTTCATTTTCCTCTTATTATATTAAGGCACTATTTCTTTAAGTCATTTTTAAGTTGTAATTATATTATGAGTTCAACTTTATTTCTAAATAATTTTAAAATTCTTTTATAATTCGTTTCATTATTTTATCAGCTGTTTTTTCCATTACACATATTATTTTCTATTTCTTTTCTAAATCACCCCATTACTTCAACTGCATGTGTTACCGTATATCTAAGTTCGTGAGCTTTATACTCATAATTTAAAAACTCATTTACAAAATCAAAGTCATTATCATTCAATGCGTCATTTTTTAAACGTTTAATGCTAAAAGACTTATTGTATAATCTTTTTACCATTCTATAATACTTATTAATAAAATCATTATCATTTCCTTCTTCATCACCTTCATATAATAAATTATCGAATTCTTCTTCAGTCAAGGACTTATTAATTTCAATAAACACAAATATTTCTAAATCATCATCAAGAGTTTTAGCATTTCCATTATCAATATCTTCGTTATTCATATCGTCAATTTTGTTTATAATTTTATTGCAATTATTGCATATCATATATTGACAAGTATTATTACTAACACCATCTATAAAACCTGTTTAATTGGTAATTTATGCATCTCACAGTCTATACATTTATAACTAATAAACTTGTGTTTCATTATAGTTTTAGCATCGACACCGACTGTATCACTATATTCACTATATTCACTATATTCACTATATTCACTATATTCACTATATTCACTATATTCACTATATTCACTATATTCACTATATTCACTATATTCACTATATTCACTATATTCACTATATTCACTATATTCACTATATTCACTTTCTGTATCACTCAGGTTCCTCTCAAAATATTAAGGCACTATTTCTTTAAGCCGTTTTCAAAGAATGTATTTTGTAATGACCGTAAGCAAGTGAGTTTATACTATCTAACCAAACTTTTTATTTTCATAACTGTTAAGGGCAACTTTATTAGTGGTAATACTAAATATTCTATGGTTTTTACTTCTAGTACTATTAAATGATTTATGCACAACTTCATTAGTTTTCAAAACCCTATCAAACTCTTCATATTTCATTTGACGTCTCACTGTTCCTTTTGCTACACCCTTACACTTCTTATATTCTTTTTCATCACCTAAGATTTTGAAAGAGTAGCATTTAGGACGAAGGGCAATAAAGTTTGTAATTATTTTCCCGTCGGTTTCACATTTGAATTTACCTAAGACTTTTTTTTTAATTAGTATCATAACATTTATGCTTTTCAGAATAACTACTGAAATCCATTTCTTGCTTTATACTTTTGAAGTCTTCATACATGTCATCAGTTTTAGTATGTAAAACACAACTGTCAGTATCAGTATATACCATTTTGATATTATCGCCATATTTAGGTTTCATAACATCATAATAAAAGCTATACATATGTTGCTTACTCAAATCTAAAATAGTCATACCCATGAATATAGGTTTATCTAGTTTCAACTTTGCTTTTTGCTTTTCAACTCCTACCATATTTTCATTAATGATATGACTATTTTTGAATGAAGGATTACTAACACATTTCATATATCTAGTTTCATCACTCACAACTTCAAAGTTTAAATGTTTTCGCTTATCCTCCATTGTTTTTCCAAATACTGCATTATTCATTAGCTTATAAACATCTTTTTCAAAATCATTTCTAGCATTCTTCCTCTTCTCAGTGTTAAATTCAATGTATGGTGTTAAAACTTCGTTTTGTTCAAATTTAACTGCTCTATGATTTTTCTTAAGTTTTAATCCTTTTTCCAAATAAAATTGTAAAGTTCTTACATGGACTACAGAGTTTTCTTTTATTATTCAAATTTAAAATTAATTTATTTGTCTTCTCATCCGCAGGTTTTTTACAATTTAACAATTCATAAATTTCAATTTGTTTGTCCGACAGCATGTCTGCTTTAACAT